CAATTAAGGATTTTCTCTTTTTTTAAAAAATGTAGTGCGTTTTTTTTTTTTTACGCTGCTAACATCATGCTGTGTTTGGAGATTCTTGAAATTAAGATTCTCAAACTATACTTGTACTGAAAATTATTCCGCCTTAAAGTACGGCAAGAATTTATCGATCGAATTTACTTGATCGAAAACATGAACTTAACATGAAATCTGCTACAGAATTTAGGAATACATCTATTGATTCCATAAATCCTTCAGTCACATAATATTTTCTAGGAAAATCCTTGGCTTAAATAAATAAATTGTATTATTTAAAGTCTGGAATTTTCTCAGTCATTACAGATAGAGCATTACTATACGATATGTTCAAATCACAGGGAAACAAAAAGTAACGAGCTCCTGTTCATTCAAGTGTGAGCCTAAAACAAAACCTAAAACATAATCTGAATTAGTGGGTTTCCTGTTAGTGATGAACGGATTTACCTTGTTCTTTTGTTAATTTCCGTTGTCTGTGGTCCGTCTTCGATTTCTCGTCTAACGACACCGGCAAGGTTTTCTGAGAGTGGCGGAGGGAAGAGAGAGGAGCGGTGGCAGATGAGAATCTGAGATTGGTGGAGGGATGAGAGAGAGAGAGATGCAAAGGGAAGAGAGACAGATCACATTTTAGCAGGGGAAAAGAGAGTGATCGTGGGAGAACGGCGGAGGGAAGAAACAGTTCGCCGGAGAGCGTCGGAAGGAAGAGAGAGAGAGAGAGCGGAGGTCGGAGAGAGAGAGAGAGAGAGAGAGAGAGAGAGAGAGGGGCGGTGAGAGAGAGAGCTGAGAGATAGAGGAGAGAGAGAGGTGTTTTAGGGTTTTTTTGATTGAAAAGGGCATTTTTGAAATTTTATGTGTAGATAAATCTGAATATATTATAATTTGAGTTTTTTTGATTGAAAAGGGTATTTTTGGAATTTTATGTGTAGATAAATCTGAATATATCATAATTTGGCCTATTTATTAACTTATATAAACTATTGGCCTATTAATTTTTATTCATCTTAAATCTTAACCTATTTTTCTCTTTCTCCCGTTAGTTAACAATTAACGTGACTAATTGACCAAAATTTTTAAAAAGCAAAACGCGAGAAAATCCTCCTTGGTATTTAAGTTGGATAAGGCATAGAAGCAATATTATGCATCATTATTGGTTTTTTTTTTTTTTTTTGTTGTCCACAAAAATAACTAATTGTATAATCACACATATCAATCAAAAAAATTGATATGACAAATCCCGAATGGTCAATATTATCAACAAACAAGCCACCAATAATGTTCAACATTCTCGGAACACTACTTAATCATAGCGTGATTGCTAGTTTTTAACCGATCAAAGATTTTTTTTATGTCAACTCCGAGATCCACGTATTATTATCACATAAAAATTACTCTTGCGTTGGGCGCATTTTCCTTGTGATATATAAGGCCACTTCATACAGAAACATTTACATATGAGAGCTCATAGCTGAGCTCAAACAGATATAGTATATCAAAAAATTTATTGTTCTTTTTTTCCCTTCTTTTTTTTTTTTTTTTTTTTTTTTTGGGAGGGGAGAAATTTTGATGGCAAGTGAGAAATCCCACAAACATGTTGCAGCCATATTTGGTGTAACTGGGCTAGTGGGGAAGGAGCTAGCCACAAAGCTGACATCAAAATCCGAATGGAAGGTTTATGGGATCGCCCGAAATCCCGACCGTGTCAAACCCATCAATCGATCCAACTTCCACTTCATCCAATGCGATCTCGAAGACCCCTTTGAGTCCCAACAAAAACTGTCGTCGTTGGTGGACGTGACGCACATGTTTTGGGTCACTTGGGCAAGCCAGTCCCCATACGACAGCCGAAAATGCTGCGACCAGAACAAGGTCATGATGTCCAACGCCCTCGACGCCGTCCTCTCAAGAGCCAAGAAAAGTTTAAAGCATGTCTCCCTTCAAACGGGGTTGAGTCATTATGTGCCTTCTCAAGGTCCTTTTGATGATTACGATGATGATGAAGTTCGGTTCTTTGATGAGGAATGTCCGAGGGTGAGCTATGAAAAGGCAAACTTTTACTATGTTCTTGAGGATTTGCTCAAGGAGAGGCTTGAGAGTAGAGTGGCTTGGTCGGTTCATAGGCCTGGTTTGTTGTTGGGGAGTTCTTGTAGGACTTTTTATAATTTTATGGGCAGTTTGTGTGTTTATGGAACAATCTGTAGGTATTTGGATATACCTTTTGTGTTTGGAGGGGCAAGGAAGCGTTGGGAAGAGAGTTCCATTGATGGGTCGGATTCGAGGCTTGTGGCGGAACAGCATATTTGGGCTGCCACCAATGAGGATTTGTATTCCACTGATGGAGAAGCTTTTAATGCTGTTAATGGTTCTGGTTTTACATGGAAGAAGATCTGGCCAACTCTTGGAAAGAGGTTCGGAGCTCGAGTGCCCGACGACGACGACGTGTTTTCGGAGGAGTTTCGGTACTCGGAGGCTATGGCTGACAAGGGAAGAGTTTGGGAAGAGATTGTTGAGAAGGAAGGACTTGTTCAGACGAAGATGGAGGATTTGGCCAATTGGGAGTTCTTGGATATTCTGTTTCGTTGCCCTGTTAGACTACTGGCGACAAGAGATAAAGCCGATCGGCTTGGTTTTACTTTGAGGTACAAGACGTTGGATTCAATATTGTATTGGTTAGAAGCCATGAAAACTGATAAGCTAATCCCTGAATAGATTTACGGAATAGCATTTTTCTTGAGTTGGTTGAAATTGATCACACATAAGAGAATGTGGAGCGCCACAAAGTTGTCATTGGGAAAGACTAGACAACTAGTGGGAGGTTGTCATTTACATGTTCTGGTTTGACTGCCCCCTATTTTTGTTCCTTATTTTAAGATCTTAATTCTTACAGGTGTTTTTAGCTAATAAAATAATGCAATATGACTTGTTATCTACTTTAGTATCTCCCTTTTTTACTCTTCTTGTCTTTGTCTTTGGGGTGTTTTGTCAGCCAAAACTTGGGCTATGATACATTCACCTATTTCAAGTTCCAACCACATAATCGAAAGTGCGTACAGGGGAGCTGCACACTGTATGGTGTTCAATAATGTCTAGATAAATGATTCGTTTATTTCGCTAACTCGACTTTTTAATTTGACTTAAAGTGCGACTTTATATGAGAGTCTTTTATTGTAATAATAAAGTTAAATGTGATTGTTTTTAAAAAAATTTTACGGTAATAAAACTCAAATTTTAAACTCAAATCAGTAAAATGAATGAGACTAAAATCTCTTTACAATTCTATGGTGTTTCTTTTTGTTACTGTTATTAAACCGACACAGTCTCAGCTGTTCAACTTCAGGGGTTGTTTTAGATTTTAATAATTATTTTTTCCCCTCATAAACGTGTATGCACAAAGGCAATTTCGCTACATGCTGGCCAACAATTTTTATATCTCGATTTGCCATTGGAAATTGTGTAACTTGAAACCAAATTGCCAGACATGATTTGAACAGTTGACTTCAATATAGGGTAGTTATGCATTGAGAAATTGAATTTTTTAAAGAGATGTTTGGTTCATAAATTAAAATTATGTAATTAAAATTATTTTTAATTTATGTATATTTTATTATAAATTATGAATTACGCGTTTTTTTTTTTTTTTTTGAGATTGTTTTTATTTCACAATTTTTTTTTTGGTACTTATTTTCATTGACACGTTACACACAAGAATTACAAAGTCTACAAGGGTTGGCAGACAGTCTCTACAGCATGTATAGTAGTGGCTTCTATTCTAGGCTCTAGCTGTTCATATCATGTGTAAGCTGTAGGTCCACTTTCCACAGAACAGGTTGCTGACTATTGCTAGACCAGTCAAACAGGCAATGCAGCGATAAATGCTCAGATACATTGTGCAATCAACTTAGCACCTTACAAGTAAAGCTGGTCAAAATTTGAAACAATCATTTAAATTATAATTCGTAATTTATTATAATATTTTTTTATAAAAAATATATGTAAATTAAAAATAATTTTAAATTATAATTTTAAATTTATAAATCAAATATTCACATTACTTTCTAGATTTAGAGGAAGAGAAGACCCAAAAAAAAGGAATAAATTGTTTAGTTGGTAGATTCGTACTCTAATTCGAATTATAATTCGTGGTTCGTTACAGTATTTTTTTCACAAAAAATACACATAAATTAAGAATAATTTTGAATTATAATTCTAAATTTATGAACCAAACGTCTACTACATGGTTTAAACTAGGCTGTGACATAGTAAATGACGTATATAGATTGGAGTGGTCTATAGCATAGTTGAAGAGCTCCTGCCACTTCGAGATTCATTCTCGAATGAGATTTTGTCTCCAGAGAAGGCCATGAGCAAAAGCACTCACTTGTCTGTGTCTCACTGTTTCTTCAAATTGTAGAATACAGGGAAGACCATTTCTGATGTTGAGAAACCGAGCATGGTTCATCTCTTCTGAAAGTTAAGGATCTTGACCGAGAGAGCAAACACAATGAAGAATAGAATGTTGAAGCCAAGAAGGACTACCGCTGAAACTACAATCATCCCCGGAGAAAAGCCAAGATTGACCTCCAAATACTCTTTCACAGAGCCCTCAAATCCTGGTCCTACAATCTTGGTTTCCACGTCACCAAGCTGAGAACTGATAATCCCTCGAAGTGTCCACGCAACAGGACAGATGTAGTAGAACCAAATCCACCATCCAGGGATATTCTGAAATGACAGAACCGTGTAAGAACCGCAAATTTGGGTGAAATAAGCATTTCTTACAAATTAAAAGAACTTCCTACCTATTAGTTATGATACTTAATCCAATTAATAGGAGTTCTTGTGAGTTTGAGGATTAATAGTCATTTGGGATAAAATCATTTTTTATCTTGTTATAGTAAAATATATCATTGGTACTGTGTTTTTAAATATATTAGAATGGTACATTCACATTTAAAAGAGATCGATTTTTAAGACATATAATATTAAAAAGTATTTTGATTAATTAAATAGAAACTAATAACTTTAAAAACATTTGTTGAAAACATTTTAATTTATTGTGATTGTTTAATTTCAAATGTTTTAAAATATTTTCAAAACTTTTTTTTAAAAGTTATTAGTTTATTGGTAATTAGTGAAAATGACAGTTTAGACATTTTATATTTTAAAAATCAATCTAGAGTACTAAAATAACATTTTAAAAGGTAAATATACAGTTTTAATATTATTAAAAACATAGAATATTAGAGAGATGTTTTATTATAACAGAAGGTATTAAAATGATTTTATCCCTGTCGTTTTCATTTCTGAAGGGAACTTTTTTTTTTTTTTTTTTTCAATGCATGCTTGGGAAAGAGAGATCACTTACTGGTTTTGGGACAAGGAAACCTGAGAGGAGATTCCACAAGGAGTAAAATGCAGAAGAGATGACTGCTGCTAAGTGCTGAGACGGTGTGAGGCCAACAGCCATCATGCCATAAAAGGTAAAGTAGGTGAAAGTGAGGAACATGAACAATATGTAGAGTAAGAATTTCCCTGCAACAGAGAAGAAACATTGATTTCAGAAAATTACATCTTATGTCAAGTAGTTTCTAAATTAGAAAAGGACATACTTAACCACGTTGGATTCATTAATCATTTTTTCCTTTCCTCTCTTCTATCTTACATAATGAGATGAGAAATATAGTCAAATTAAATCGGAGTATCATTTGTCAATACAATGAAAAGTAGGTGCTTGGTAAGCCACTAGAATTCCCCTAGACATCTACATACACTAAATAGTACTTTCATACTAAATTGGAATTATATACAACTCTCCCAACCCCTACCCCACCACCGAAAGAGAATATTTAATGAAAATATCACGGTACTAAAGAAAGTCGTCAACTATATTACATAAAAAGCAGAAGCAACTCCAAGGAAAAGTAAGACGTTACCAATTGTCCTTTCAAAATTAACCATGAAATACGTGATGACACCATAAATTATGGTCTGCACAGCAACGTATGGAATCTCCACAAGGCCCTGTTGCAAAGGCAATTAACATATCCGTTACATATTCCCTGTTTGGACTTTGGAGGTTATCTGCAAAATTATCAGTGGAATAACTTGCCTGGGCTACTGCATATGCCAATGGAGAGTACATTCCAGCTGCTTTCTCTCGATAGAATACTGTCCTCTCAATGGAAACAATTGGCTGTACTGAAGAAGCATTGTTGACCCCGAGAAACAATGTGGCCGCATAAAGAGCTCCCATAACCATCAACAGATCTTGAGTTGAGTCCCTGCAGATTGAAACATATAATTCGTAAGTGGAATGCTCCGATATCTTTGCAAACATGATTCACATAACATCTAAAAACAGTGTTAGATCATGTAGAAGTAGGTGACTGGATAGTTGATACAAGAAAGAGGCATTCTTTCAAAATTTTATTAGATGGCAAAAGAAATACATGAAGGGCATGTTATGATGATATTCTCATTTTAATAGTTTTGTAGGATACAGGCTACCAAAAGTGAAAGGATTTCAAAAAGTTTCGAGACCTTCATAATTTCTTGAAGAAAACTTTTGAAAAAGTCGCGCAAATTACAACTTAAACAAAACTTACTACAAGAAATAAGTTGTACCTTTTAGAACCAACATTCCAAAACACTGAGCCTAATATCAATGCGCTCACTGTAGTGAAAAATAACCTCATGGCATTGTATTGTGGACTTCTCCAATATACGAGATTTTGTTTCCATAAGCAGGTCAAAAACTGAGACAGCTTGTCTTGTGAATAAGTGGAAGCAAATTTGAGTGGTTCTGAGTCAGGAGCTGGAGTACTAAAACGGATAATAGAAGCTTCTACCTCCCTAAAGCATAATATGAATTATATAACCATTTAGTTAGAAATATACATAGAAAGCAAAAAGTATTGGCAGAAGGCTCTGCTTATAGTTCCAATTCAACAGCAATTTAACGTACTTGAATTGCTCAGAATTTCTGTACATATTTGCAAAGTCTTTGCCAATTTTCTCTTCAGCAGCAGGTGTGGTAACTTCAAGCATCCAAGTTGCTGGATTATACCCACTAGCAATTAGAGGGATTCCATTGATTTCCTGAACATGAAAAAGTAAGTCAGGACAACTTATTTTCTATAAACATTTCTTTTTGGGTCATCAGACTTGCATTAAAAATCGAGAATGCACGTTACAGAGCTCATGTAATTACATAAGATTCAGCGGAGGATCCAAAAAAAAAAAAAAAAATGTAAAGCCTTCCCTTGTGGAGTATCTTGCATATTGAACTTTTAGTATGAAGCTAACATCTTTTAAAGAAACTTTTCTCATCTCACCACTGCTATGATCTACTTTGGTGCAATGAGAAGAAGAGGACATAAAGTTACTTTTAAGGAAAAATCACCTGAAAATAGTCTATCATTGTCTGCGAGTGTAGACCAAGCTTTCCTCCATATATAAGTCGACCCCCTCGTTTCATTAGAAGAAGCTGTGGATCAAATTAGTTAGACACTTAAAAAAAAGGGACAACCAACAGTCTTTCAATACTGCTAAAAAAGAAAATCGACATGTTTCTCAATCTAGTTCATATATACTGCTAAAAAAGACAGCCAACCTCATCAAATGCCTCAAATATTTCAATACTCGGTTGATGTATTGTACAAACTACGGTTCTTCCCGTGTCAACAGTATTACGTACGGTCCTCATCACAATGGCTGCTGCTCTCGCATCAAGTCCAGATGTAGGTTCATCCATAAAAATAATTGAAGGATTTGCCACAAGCTCCACTGCAATGGTTAAACGCTTTCTTTGCTCTGTTGATAACCCTGAACTTCCAGGTAAACCAACCAGAGCATGCCTTAGAGTATCAAGCTCCACTAATCTCATTACTTCTTCAACAAATTCCTGAAATGCAAGGTGGCAAAACTGTCAAGAACAAAGTGAAAATACTACTCATAAAGGGAGTGTACAAAGGCAAGAATTAGGCAACATCTCACACGTCTTTTCTCTTGGCTAACTTCCTTTGGAAGGCGAAGAGACGAAGAAAACCAGAGAGACTCCTCAACTGTCACTTGAGGAGAGTGTATGTCATTTTGCTCAACGTATCCTGATATCCTTGCAAAAGTGCGTTGCTCTTTGGGGTAACCAGAAATTTTAATAACCCCTTCTATGTAGCCACCAGTTTTCCTCCCAGCTAAAACGTCCATCAAGGTAGTCTTACCAGCTCCACTTGACCCAACTAAAGCAGTGAGGACACCTGGTGAGAATACCCCACTTACATTTGACAAGAGTTGCAACCTATTTTCTGGTATGCCTTTCGATCTCATTTCCTAAAACCATCGGTTAGATATGGTTTGACATTAGTTTTGATACGAGTAATTAATCTCCTAAAAAGTGTATTCAAACTGAGGAAAAGCATACCTTTGGCATATCAACGAAGTAATTGAGATTATGAAAAGTCATTGTTAAAGGTTTAAATGGAAGAATCATTCCCTTCTTTGTGTCAACTACCGCAGATGTTTTTAATTCGTTGGTGTTGCAGCACACTGTATAATCAGGTTAATGCACGTGAGAGATATCTCTACAAAAGTTAATTTGATCATTGATATAGAGTATAGACCATACAAAATGAAGGCACCGGCGTGTATGTAAAAAATATTATTGCGAATTTTAAAGATATCGACCTTCTGCTAGACTATCTTCCGTTTGTTCAGTTGGAATCACTGTCCGGGCTTTCCACAGGGCTGTGAAGAGCACAAGAGAAACAAAATTTTTAAGAGATAAACGAAGCAATTATATGGGACCGTATATGAAAAGAGAAGATTAGAAGAAACAAAATGAAGGACAAAAAAGGATAGAAATTTGTTCGGGGGAACCAGGTTAATAGAAAATAATTAACATTCAAACACAAAGGTTCAGTTTAGACTTACGATTGAGGTAGGCCAAGGCCAAAGTCACAATGTTGTTGAAAAGCAAAGCATAAAGGAATAGAGCTCCAACTCCAAGCCAATACCAATAATCTCCACTCGGTATGTTATGTGAATGCAGAATATTGTACCCCACTGAGTTGTTCCCAAGAGCCGATCTCTGCAAAACATATAGTTTCCAAAAGTAGTAGAAAATCTAGTTCAGAGGTCTATCAAGCTTTAGTAGATGTTCGTTAGTAATATGTACTTGAATTTAAGGAAATGAGAGTGGAAAGAAATGTGTCCATTAGCCAAAAGAGCCAACCTCCATCCATCTAGTGGCCGTAAATTCATTGACGGAAATTGCACGTTGTCCATATGATAGTGGTGACACCCAAAAGCCCCAAACCCACCATGGCTTAATCATTGCTGCAACAAGTTCCACCAAAAACAAAAGTTGGTGGTAAAACTCATTTCCTGTTATTGAATAAAACAATTCTAATTTCTATATTACATACCTTTGGGAATAATGAATCCACCCAACAAGAAAATAATCAGCAGTGCAGCTGAGCCGAATGTATTGGCGATAACCATATCTCGTGCAAGAGATGCCATCATCCGGAACAGACTCAATGCCATTTGGTGCACGGCAAAGAGCAAAAGCATAAAACGGAAAAATCTGTAAAAATTAGCAGCAATTAATGAGTATGTAAAACAACTGAAAAGGCATTAATATCGTCCAAAATGGTAAGCAGACGTCACCTCCCAGCACCAGGGGCGAAACCAACAGTGTAGTAGACGACGCAAGACCAGACAACAGATTCGATAATGGAGTAAGGAACACGCAAAAGCCAACTACAAAAGGACCACGCCCATGCAGGATGAAACAAATTATCCCTTTGCTTGTAAAAAACTGGGAGCCGAGATATCATAAGAGGCAGCTCGGAAAATCCATTAAACATCATGTGCACCAGACCGAAGAACAAGCACGAAAGATAAAGGTTGCCCTCTATCTCATCTACGGGGTGTAATCTCGTTCGAAGAAACATGGTGCATGTAACGAATCCAACAAATGCTACCTTTAGCCAAAGAGATAGAGCAATTTAGGGGACGAGATATGGAAAAATAAAATTTTGGATTAATGTATGCACCTCGAATAGAGCATATGTGTGTGTGTGTGTGTGTGCTCGTGTTCCTGTCGAAATAAATCACTACTATTCCCTGTGCAAATTCGTTATGAGATTGTAGTAGATAGTAAAATTTGCATCATTACTAGAATCAGAAATCATTCTAAGTGATTATATTGTCCAAAAGTCATGCTACTTCCTATACCAGTTATATACAGAGACGTCCAATCCGACAGAACCAGAAAAAAAAAATAATGACCAAATAAAACAAGATTACATATTGACAATGTAGATACCTGGCATGTCCTAAAACAGTAAAGAAAACGATGTCTGCTGATCAAGAGTACTTCTCTTGCAAAGCATGCTTTGAACAGTTCCCATTTTGAAACAGCATATTTTGATTTTGATAAAGCCGAAGGATGGCTTTTAGATTTGTCATATGGAACAGAAAGAGTGAAATCCAAAGACCTTCCAAATTTGGAATTTTTAAAGGCTTTAGCAATTTCTGGAACAGAAAGATACACGTATGGTTTTGAAGGATCTGCCCAGTACTGAGCTTGATCCCTCTTAGATGTCACCTGGAAAAAAAAACAAAAAAAACAAAAAAAAAATGAAACGAACAAGAATATCACGGCAATCACAAAGGAAAAAAAAAAAAATTAAACCATCCAGGTGTCTCTAATTAATAGTACCTCTTGGAGAAAATCTGCAACACCCTTTCGTGGTGGTAATCTAAAACCTAATGACTCAAAGAACTCTAACACATCTTCTCTAGGACCTTGGTACACCACATATCCTTCTGATAAGAGCACAAGATCATCAAACAACTCAAATGTCTCAGGTGCAGGCTGAAGTAGAGCCAGCAGTACAGTTGCTTCCATTTGATGTACAAAGTTCCCAATGCATTTCACAATTTGAAATGTAGTAGAACTATCAAGCCCGGTGGATATTTCATCCATAAATAGAGTTTTCCTCGGGCCCACAACCATTTCTCCTGCAAATTGAAAACGAAACTCAAACCAGTAATAATTCAAAAGACCATACTTTTAGTACAAATATATGCTCACTCAGCAAACTAGTGTGTGCGTGTGTGTGTGTGTGTGTGTGTGTGTTTTTTTTTTTTTTTTTTGGCTAGAGAAACTAAGCTGCATTAAAAGTTTTAGAAGGTTTAGTATATAAAAGCACAGGCCATAAATAAGAACCCCGGCTAAAATACAATATGATAGCAATCTTATTATACATTGTAATGTTGATGAATAACCTGTCATAAAGTCATCGATATAGAGTGACAGGGTTTTTTTTTTTTTGTTTTTTTTTTTTCATCTCTCTCATTTCGACAAAAGCACAGGCCATAAATAAAAGCACAGGCCATAAAAGTTTTAGAAGGTTTAGTAATAAAAGCACAGGCCATAAATAAGAACCCCGGCTAAAATACAATGCGACAGAGAGCAATCTTATTATACATTGTAATGTTGCTGAATAACCTGTCATAAAGTCATCGATATAGAATGACAGGGTTTTTTTTTTGTTTTTTTTTTGTTTGTTTCCATCTCTCTCATTTCGACAAAGAATAGGAGCAAAAGAAGCATGGTTAAAAAGAGAGATAGAGACCTGTAGTAACTCTTTTTCTTTGTCCACCTGATATCCCTCTATGCATGTCGCTGCCAACAACCGTCTCTGAACATATGTCGAGTCCTAGAACTTTCAGCAAATAATCTGTTGATACGCTATGCTTTTTACCACCAACAGATGATGCCTATACAGTAAAATTCGATTAAGATTTGTCAGGAAACGGGTATGAATGAAAAGCCATGCAAGAACTCACGGTTACACAAATTCAAGGTTTTTTTTTTCCCCTATTGTAATCAATCAAAGTTATGAAGTTCAACTTCCAATCGACAACCTTCATAAATGCATCAATCTCTGGACTTGGTCGAATTTTCCGCTCCTTCTCTAACTCGGCAAGATCTTTCATGTATGCTTTAAGTAAAACAAGTGAGGTGAAAATAACAAAGTATAGTTAGTTTCGACCATAGGACCTCGAGATAATACTGAATTAAGATGACTCATATGTTAAGTCTTGCATTATTGATTAGATACAGCTTCTAATTTAAAAGAACAAACCTGCAAATCCTTCACTTGCACCTTGACACCTAGCTGCAAAGTCCAAGGTCTCTCGCACGGTCAGTTCTGCAATATGATTGTCTGTTTGGCTGATATAGGCAGAAGTCCTTTGAACACAAAATTCATCAAGTGTATGGCCGTTGTAAGTGATTTTTCCAGTTTTCTGAAACCATAAAACAGAAAAAATATGAAACTTCAAAAGAAAAAAAAAAAAAAAAGAAGTATTAAGGTGGAGAAAATTCTTAGATAAATGGACCAATAGATGAAGAAAAGAGTTCAGTGTGATAATCTTAGTTATGGGTTGTTAATACGTTAAAGTATAAAATTATTGTTAGTCCATCTCCTAACAGCTTAAATTTTTGAGATGAATTGGTAAACTAACTTGGTATCAGAGCGAGAGATCCTGAGTTCAAACCCCCGTAATTATACTCTTTATCCTCATTTAAAATTGTCATCATGTGTTGAGTTTTTAATATATCTCAGACTTAAATATTCACGTGTTGGGCTCTTCAATTAATTTACGATTGCCCATTGTCCAACTCACACGTGAAGGAGAATGTGTTAAAGTATAAAACTATTGTTGGCCCACCTCCTAAAAGCTTAAACTTTTAGGATGGATCGGTAAAAATCAACCAACAAGCAAGCATATTTATTCCAATGAAATTTGTGTAGTTTTCCATGAGAGTTAATAAAAGGGAAAAGGATATCCCAAAGGCTCCCACCCCATCTTTTTGGCATTAAAAAATGGGCCTGAATACAGAATGATGGCACCAAAAATTATCAGAAAAGACCTTCTGACTGAAACTGAAAAGGACAACTAGAAGGGAACAATTGTAACCAGGTGGAATTGGAGTTGGCTATGACAGTTATGCAGAACAAATTGCACTCACACTTAACCCAGAGGCCTGTAATTCATATTTTTTAGCCAGTATTTTATGGGTTAGTCCACATCTGTTATAACTTGACCCTTGCATTACATTCAAAGAAGAAAAGGACTGTAACCGACCTATTTATCTAACATGACGACGTCTTTCTCTTCTTTCTTTTTTTTAGAAGGCCAGATCTAATCATTTTAGGTTAACAGATTAAGTTGTTTGGGCTTAGATTTGACATATATCTTATAGCTACCTGATCAATGATCAAAGAAGCACTGAAGTGGAACGTTCCTTGCCTAGGGCCCGTTGCAAAGAACCGGTCGACCCAAGATTGATTTGAAAATGTTTTAATCAAGCCGAATAGAGCATGCAAGGCCGCTTAGTAAGAAGGATAAGAATACTATTAAATGAGTCCTTTTTTTCCATTTTCTTTTAGGAGAACATGCAATAGGAGTATGCACATGTGATACGCTTGTGAACTTTGAGCACAGAAAAAAAAAAAAAAAAAAAAAAAAAAAAAAAAAAAAAAAAAACCGGGAAAAAAACAGTAAAAAAAAACAAAACA